CCCCCCCCCCCCCCCCCCCTCTAATAAATGACCGGTCCCTTATACTCTGCTTTTGAAGAGATGATGCTCTTTACAAATCGAAATTTGTATATCATATATACAGCGACAATCAAACAGTCGAAAATTGCTCAGAGAAGTGACGTCACCACTGTTGCCATGGCAACAATGACGATTCAAGATGGCCGATATTTTGGCTTTGAACGCATTTTACTTTAAAAAAAGGTCGGTTACCCCCATTTTTTATTTCAGAAAACATTTTCTTATAGTGCAATACACTATCTGACCAATTTTAAAACAATTCTGTAATGCCAAATTTTTAAAAATTATAAAAAAAAATGGTTTTTCGAAATAATTTTTTTTTTGCATTACAGAATTTTTTTAAAATTGGTCAGATAGTGCATTGCACTATAAGAAAATGTTTTCTGAAATAAATAATGGTGGTAACCGACCTTTTTTAAAGTAAAATGCGTTCAAAGCCAAAATATCGGCAATCTTGAATCGTCATTGTTGCCATAGCAACTGTGGTGACGTCACTTTTCTGACCAATTTTTGACTGTTTGATTGTCGCTGTATATATAATATACAAATTTCGATTTGTAAAGAGCATCATCTCTTCAAAAAGGTGATCTAGTTTACGCATTTCAACATTTCTATAAACTGTAGCGAGCCACCTTAAAAATGCTTTGTCATTTGTATTTGTACTTGTACTGCATCACAAGGCAGTGCCTAAGTGAACAGATTGATCCACATGTGAGGTTGTCTTGTATATATTTTTGCCTTCTTTGATAAACATTATTAAACACGCAAATTTAGTGAGACGCACACCTGCATATCATTGTCATTGTTAACCTCTGGTCTAAATCATATGATTATTATATATATTATTATTATAATATAATAATATAATAATAATAATAATTTTTATTATTATTATTATAATAATTATTATTATAACTAGAAAATACATGCATGCAGAAACCCTCGCCTTGCTGACAAAACCATTGTATTTTCCGAACATGAAGTATCTAGAGCAGTTGTCATGGTAACACGATAATTTTTTTTTAAGAATATTCTTACAAATCTCCTAAAAATATCACTTTTAATTACAAAGTTATCAATTTCCCAATATATATATGTTAGGTATGTTATTATACGTAATATAGGCTTCAATTTAAGATAAAATTCAACCACAAACGCTTCGCAAAACGTTTTAAAGTGTTCTTTATAAAACTAAACAGCCTTTTAATATAATTAAATGGCTTTATCGATAAACTTTGAGTTTGCAATAAAATGATTTCAAATTCTCGCTTGCAAATAACTTTGCTTTCTTTTTTATTTAAAAAATTCAATATAATAAAAAAGGGAATCAATATTAAAGATACACTGAAATTATATGCTGTCTTGTTTAGTTGTTTCATATACGCAAAGGCCGTCGGGTTTGAAATCCATTATAAAATCAATATTTAAAACAAACTTACCTTCGTTAACGTCGGCTCCCTTCCTTTAGCCGATTCTTTCGCCCTTTCTTTATGAGAAAACTTTTGAAATTTACAAAATCTTGCAAAAATGCGAACAAAAAATTCATCAATCATCAAATCAAGAAATGTTTGCTATTTCGCTGTCGTCATGCAGTCGTTATAATCCTTATAATGCAAATTTTAAATTGGACCAATCAGTGTCCGCTATTCATGACAGTCCGTCATATAGAGATCAGTTGAGATCAGTGAGGATGACCACCCACGGTTGGTCACCCACGCCCGCGATATTTGATGAACTTTAGACTCCGCTAATGCTTTCGTTTCCCCGGGAGTAAATAGCCGGGGGGAATTAGTACCCTCGCACGGCGCTTCGCGCCGCCGGCTCGGGGATTATTATTATTATAATTATTATTATAATTATTATTATTATTATTATTATTATTATAATTATTATTGTAATAATAATTATTATTATAATAAATATTTATTATTATAATATTATTACTATTACTATTATTATTATTATTATTATTATTATTATTATTATTATTATTATTATTATTATTATTAAGGAGAGTGATGTCGGAAGACCTGGAGATTTTTGCCGATTGTCCAGACTCTGGCTTGAAATGTACGTCCAATCTGTTTCAAGCGTTAAGGCCAGATATTACGATTCGTTATAAAAGAGATTTGTATGTGATTGAATTGACTGTCCCATATGAACCGAACTGCATGATTGCAAGACGACGTAAACAAGAAAAATATCGGGCATTGCGATCACAGTTACTCGTACCGTGTGATAGATTTAAAGTTATAACTTTGGAAGTCACTACTCTAGGCTTCGTCACGAAGAGTATAGGCCAATTTCGTAGGCTATGTAGGTTGTTAAATTTGCAAGACGATCGTATCATAACAAAATGTATGGAGGTTGCACTTCGTGCCACTTTCTACATATTTTGTAAGAGAAATAAGAACTGGTCTTGCCCTGAAAAGCTCAACTTCTATTAGCTACTAATGTGTGACAGTGTAGATAACGGACCTGCTTATTCAGAGAACTGTTGTCTTATTTATTAAGTGTAGTTAGGGAAAATTTGGTCTGGACTCATAAATGTATGACTATATGGGTCAGGCTATGTAATTGATTTGTAAATGGTTTAAAAAAATTATTATTATAATAATAATGTCTGGCACCTTAGAACATACTGCACAAATGGCCAATATAATCAATAAAGCCCGAATCAAACAACGCTCACTAGTCATCACCCTACTTGACCTCAAGAATGCTTTTGGTGAAGTTCATCATAATCTGATCACATCCGTACTTGATTACCACCATATCCCTGAACATGTTAAATTGATAATTAAAAGTCTATATACCGATTTTAAAACTTCAATAATTACATCTGAATTCCGTACCCCCTTCATACTAGTTCGCCGTGGAGTATTGCAAGGTGATTGCCTGAGTCCTCTTCTCTTCAACATGTGTTTCAACACCTTTATACAACACATAAAAACAGATAAATATCGTCAATTCGGCTTCTCCTTACAGTTTCTAAATCCCATCCACTGGTTTCAGTTTGCTGATGATGCCGCCGTCATAAGTAGTCAAGAATCCGAAAATCAACATCTTCTAAACCGGTTCTCCATTTGGTGCCAATGGTCCAACATGATTATTCGGGTTGATAAATGTAGTACCTTTGGCATCAAAAAAGCTCTAACAAAATCAATCCAATACCTGCCTAAACTACTTATTAACAAGCAACTAATTCCAAAGATCAATATCGGTGAGGCTTTTCAATACTTAGGAAGATACTTTAGTTTTAATATGTCAGACGAACACCACAAGTCTGAACTAATCTCACTCGTTGAAGAACTAATGGCAGATATTGATTCCAAACCATTACATCCAAAAAATAAAATCCCCCTCTACAGTCGATATCTTCTGTCAAAATTATCCTGGCATTTTACAGTTTCTAGCGTATCGAAAACGTGGGTAACAGAAAACATTGATTCCAAAGTTAACAGTTATATCCGTAAATGGCCCGATATACCTATATCTGGAACGCTAAGCACTGTTTTCCTAACCCGCAACAAGTTTGGCCTCAGTATTTGTCCCCCATCTGTCAAATTTATTCAATGTCAAACTGTTCTCCGTAAAGCCCTAAAAACATCCCCAAACGAAGCAATTAACGATCTTTGGAAAGCAACTAGCAACAGCAAAAATATTCAGTATGATGTTTATAACTCCACTAAGCAAGTTCTCAAGGACTTTCGCTCTGGCCAAGAGGATAAACTGCATACCCAATTAACCTGTCAGGGCTCTTTCTTCACTAATATGACAAAGTTCTCACTGTCCCAACTCACTAAAATTTGGTCTGCGTGCCAATCGAACCTTCCGAAAAATATATTCAACTTTACAGTTCGATACATCAATAACTCCCTTCCAACGCGCCAAAACCTTGCAAGATGGGGTTTATCACCGACTTCAGACTGTTCGCGATGTCTAGCTCCTGAAACACTTCTGCACGTAGTAGCTGGTTGCCAATCGTATCTAGAACGATTCACGTGGAGACATGACTCCGTTCTAAACTTTCTCGCAACAAGCCTGCAGACCGTAAGCGGCTCACATCTTTACGTGGATCTCCCAGGGTACAAAAGTCCATCAATCATCACTGGTGACACCTACCGTCCAGATTTGCTTCTTTCAACCTCAACCGGAAGACTCTATATTGTTGAACTTACAGTTGGCTTCGAATCAAATCTTCAAAGAAACGTTGAGCGTAAAAAATCAAAATATAAAGAATTAATTAGGGAACAAAATGAACATTTCAACTCAGTAAAATTTATAAATCTTTCGATTAGTTCTCTTGGTGTTTTCAGTAAAGAATGTTCTACTTTCATAGAAATGCTTAATGATTTTGGTTTTCAAAAGCAACATCAGAATTACTGTATTAGAAGAATGACGACGATTGCAATCCGAACAACGTATTATATATTTTGTTGTCGAAACAAGGAATGGATGAATCCGGAACTGTTAAGTGTTTAAACGTTGTACTGTCATTTTGTTATCTTAATAGTATAATTTTTGTATATATAATCAGTGATTTAAGTAGCCAGTTGTAAATTACCTTAAATAAGTGAGATTTGCAATTGTATATATAAGCTAAATATCCATTTAATAAAGTTTTCATTATTATTATTATTATTATTATTATTATTATTATTATTATTATTATTATTATTATTATTATTATTAGTATTATTATTAGTATTATTATTATATTATTATTATTATTATTATTAAATTATTATTATATATTATTATTATTATTATTATTATTATTTTTTGTTCCATCAGAATGGAAAAAAGCGTGCACGATATATTGATTCACAAAAAAGACGGAACTGACAATCCCGCTAACTTCAGACCAATAACTCTAGAATCTGTTCCGCTCAAAGTTTTTACGTCGTGTCTTCGTAACAAAATTTTCGCTTTCCTATCTGAAAACAATTACATAGAACATGACATCCAGAAAGGTTTTATCCCAAACGTTGCAGGAACTGTTGAACATACAGTCCATATGGCGCACATAATCAACACAGCCCGTATAAAACAAAGGTCACTTGTAATCACTTTACTCGATCTGAAGAATGCATTGGGTGAACTACATCACAACCTTATTTACAAAGTTCTTCAATATCATCATATACCTGATCCTATTAATGAACTAATCCGGAGTCTTTATACTAACTTCCAAACATCTATCATAACTGAAAAATTCAGTACCCCTTTCATTACCGTCGGCCGTGGCGTTTTACAAGGTGACTGCCTTAGTCCACTCCTTTTCAATATGTCCTTTAATACCTTCGTACAACACATTAAATCTGAATCATTCCCGGAGCTTGGCTTTTGGAAATTTAATAAAACTGGTATTCCGTGTAATCCAATTCATTGGTTCCAGTTTGCAGACGACGCGGCTGTCATTAGTAGCCAAGAAAAAGAAAATCAAATCCTACTCAATCGCTTCTCGGTATGGTGTCAATGGGCCAATATGATTATACGTGTTGACAAGTGCTCTACGTTCGGTATTGAAAAACACTCATCTAAATCTGTTCAATATCAACCTAAATTGTTTATTAGCCACCTACTTGTACCCCGTACCGAAACTGGTGAATCCTTCCGCTACCTTGGTCGTTATTTTAATTTCAACATGTCAGAAGAAAAACCCCAATCGGATATATGTGACTTGTTTAATAATATCATATCTAAAATAGATGAATTACATTTGTACCCCCGAAATAAAATCCTGCTATACAGTCGCTACTTGCTCTCGAAAATCTCATGGGACTTCACAATAACTGATATATCGCAAACATGGGTTTGCGAGACTTTGGACGGTATTGCTACTAAATATATACGAAAATGGCTCGAACTGCCAATATCTGCAACTCTAAGCAATGTCTATCTCCCTTACAACAAATTTGGTTTAAATGTCATTCTACCTTCAACGAAGTTTATACAGTGCCAAACTGTCTCACGCTTAGCTTTAAAGTAATCGATAATGAAAACATACGTGAATTATGGTCAATAACAAGCACCAATAGGAACATTCAGTACGACATCTACTCAAACACAAAAGATGTATTGAAGGCATTTAGACAAAAAAAACGAACAGCGACTACAAAATAACCTAATTTCACAAGGTTCTTTTTTCTCAAACATCGTGAAAAACTCCACGTTGGCATTCAATTCCCTATGGTCATCGGTTCATTCAAAACTTCCTAAGAACATATTTAACTTCAGTCTACGTTACATCAACAATTATTTGCCTACTAGGAAAAACCTAGTTAAATGGGGACTGTCATCATCTGCTGACTGTTCGTTCTGCTTCTGCCCTGAATCGCTATTGCACATAATCTCTGGATGTAAGACATATCTAAACGAAGGGAGATATACATGGCGGCATGATTTAGTTTTGAATCTCATTGCGTCCAGCCTTCTCGACGTCGGAAGGTCCAAAATGTATGTAGATCTGCCTGGATTTATTAGCCCATCTGTCATCACTGGTGACGAGTTACGACCAGACCTTCTATTGACAATTGAAAATAAGATTTTGTACATTCTAGAATTAACTGTTGGATTCGAAACAAACCTGAAAACTAACTCAGATCGAAAACATGAAAAATATTTGACTCTAATTACCGATCAAGAAAATATATATGATGAAGTTAAGTTTGTTAATGTATCTATAAGCCCTTTAGGTGTATTTGGTGAATCGACGAATACTTTATTTGATATGCTCCATGATCTGAAGTACGACGAACAATGTATTAAATATGTAAAAAAGAAAATAATTGCTACTTGTATTCGCACGTCGTATTATATATTCTGTAGACGAAACAAAGACTGGAACAACCCAGAACTTTTAAACTTTTAACTAAATTTAAAAGATTTTCACCTGTATATATATTTTAGCTTTAAACTCAATTCAAGTGGACATCGATAAGCTACCTTTTATTAAGTGTGGTTTATCAATGTATATATAGTATATCGTAAATATCTAATAAAAAGTTTCCATTATCCCCGAGCCGGCGGCGCGAACCGCCGTGCGAGGGTACTAATTCCCCCCGGCTATTTACACCCGGGGAAACGAAAGCATTAGCGGAGTCTAAAGTTCATCAATGAGCGCGGGCGTCGGTCACCAACGATGGGTGGTCATCCTCACTGATCTCAAAAATATGGCGGATTGTCATGAATAACGGACACTGATTGGTCCAATTTAAAGTTTGCATTATAATTATAACGACTGCATGACGACAGCGAAATAGCAAACATTTCTTGATTTGATGATTGATAAATTTCTTGCAAATATATTTCATTTTTGCTCGTATTTCTGCAAGATTTTGTAAATTTCAAGAAAGAAAGGGCGAAAGAATCAGCTAAAAGAAGGGAGCCGACGTTAACGAAGGTAAGTTTGTTTTAAATATTGATTTTATAATGGCTTTAAAACCCGACGGCGTTTGCGTATATGAAACAACTAAACAAGACAGCATATAAATTTCAGTCGAACTTTAATATTGATTCCCTTTTTTATTATATTGAATTTTTTAAATAAAAAATAAAGCAAAGACCAAAGTTATTTGCAAGCGAGAATTTGAAATCATTTTATTGCAAACTCAAAGTTTATCGATAAAGCCATTTAATAGTTAAAGGCAGTTTAGTTTTATAAAGAACACTTTAAAACGTTTTGTGAATTGTTTGTGGTTGAATTTTACCTTAAATTGAAGCTTGTATTACGTATAACTACATACCTAACATATATATGCTGGGAAATTGATAATTTTGTAATTAAAAGTGATATTTTTAGGCAATTTTCATTTGTAAGAATATTCTTAAAAAATTATCGTGTCACCATGACAACTACTCTAGATACTTCCTGTTCGGAAAATCATAGGGAAAATACAACGGTTTTGTCAGCAAGGCGAGGGTTTCTGCATGCATGTATTTTCTAGTATTATTTGACCTAGCACCGTATTTGTAGGCAAATTGTCTATACAATTTTATATACTAGATATCACAGCCATACCTGCCATTTTGATCTTTTCCTCGCGTTAGGTAAGTTGATGTACATTCATTCTTGTTAACCATCGTACCTGTTCGGCTGTTTCTTTTTCAATACGAAACTTTCAGCGCCGAGTTATCGTACGGCACATTCAAGTGTATAAATTATGGATGATTCCAATGGACATTTGCATTATAGACTAAATTTTGATCTAGACAAAAATTTCATCACAGTTTGAAAAAGCATCACAACATTAGTAATGTTCCAAAGTTTCGTTGCGAAATGTTATAAAATGCGGATAATATAGCCTTGCGATATTTGCAATTTTCAGTCATTTTGTATTACAAACAGGAAATTGATGCCCCAACACCCGATTAGGCTGTCAATTTCCCGTGCGTAATACAAAATGACTGAAAAACTGCAAACTTCGCATGGCTATAATATCCGCATTTTACAACATTTCGCAACGAAACTTTGGAATATTACTAATTTTGTGATACTCTTTCAAGCTGTGATGAAATTTTTGTCTAGATCAAAATTTAGTCTATAATGCAAATGGTCCATTAATTACAATTATTATACATTGTACTTGGTAAAAGCAATTTGATTGGCAAAGAGCTTACAGTTAAATCGCGCAGTCACGCAACCTACACAAAATTCAGTTATCCGCTAGCAGATAACTCAGTTATCTGCTAGCAGATAACTGAATTGAGGTTGAATGAGTGTAAATTTCAAATGAGTGTACATTTCAATTTTCAAATGAATGTACATTTCATAATTGTAATGTTTACTTTAACAAGCAAATATTTTAATACGTTAACATCTTAACGATAATATGTTTCTTCTATATTTGTAATTAATTTAACTGTTGGACTTTTTACTTGAACAGCTTTGCCAGAAATCATATTGAATATAACGCTTACCGAGACCTTAATAATTTTGCATATCGCAAAAACCGAATTCAATAAATGTTTTATTATACATTTGAAGAATAATAAACATAGTATTAAAATAGTATGTTTATTATTCTTCAAATGTATAATAAAACAATTATTGAATTCGGTTTTTGCGATATACAAAATTATCAAGGTCTCGGTAAGCGTTATCAGCCTCGCCTTCGGCTCGGCTGATAACGCTTACCTCGACCTTGATAATTCCGCATATCACAAAAACCTCATCCAATAATTGTTAAATATTTCTTACTCTTATTCTTTAAAATATTAAATATTTGGGAACAATGCTTTACCAAGGCAGCATTCACTACCCTGTGGGTAAACTAGTTTTACTTATTTAATCGGTTAATCCTCAGCCATCCGCTGCTATTAATATTCAATAAGTGTCAGGCATCGCCTTTTCCATTGTTTGGATATATTTGTCATTGTTTACATTTTATATTTGCATATTTATTTAATCTGGAAGTTGCGGAAGACAGGTAATTCAAATGCATGCATGATGCGGAATTTCTCTTGTTTTAAGGTATACCAAAGCCCGGCCGTACGGGAGTTTTAACAGACCAGTTTGCCCCAGAGGCGGGGAATTTAATATTAACACTTGGTTGTGTTAAATTCCCCGCTATGTCACGGGGGTGGAGGGGGGGGGCGTGATTTCAAATGACTACCGCATAAACTAAAAGAAACACACACAACAACCATTGGTTCAAAATTCTATAAGTATATAACTAGGTACACATATGGCCACAAATTTTAAATTAATAGACTGTGTGTAAATTAATTTGATGAACTATCTTAGTTGGAAATTGTTTGTCAAAAGAACCGGCTACTACTAAAAAGCGATACAGCGATACGAAGATACAGCGATACAGGAACCGAAACCTGGAACCGGAATCTGGAACAGTTCATAATTTATGCAAATTAGAGCATTTTGCACCACAGGAGATATACATAATAATAATTTACAGTGGAGGCGCAATTCGATGATAGTATAAAATATTATATGGAAGGCATTTTGATTTTTAAACAAAACAAAGAATGAACATCGTTGTAGCCCTAGCACTACATAGTAAAACATGTTTCGTAATTGCGCGGCCATTCTTCTTGTCTGTTTTGATATGACTGACTACGCGTGACGTACTTAGTTTATTTAGCCGCCGCACTTGATTATGAAATGCCAGCAGATAGAGAATGAAATCACGGCACGCAAAGCAGATTACGTTCACTAGAAATTGTGCGCTAAATTAAGCAATTAGAGTGGTGTAGCGTATGATGCAATCCGACATTGGATATGCTATATATAAATAAATAAAAAATACAAAAATAAATAAAATAAATATGTTTCATGCTAAAAATATCCGCTTGAACGTCAATCACAAACATAAATGAAGTTTATATCAAGATACTCTTCAATGTAAAAAAACATTTAAATAAAAAATTGATTTGTCTGATTGAAATTCAGTGTCGACAACATATAGATGTACAATGTATTAACTTCAATGAATAGCACCATGGCCATGTTGAAGTTTTAACAGCTTCTATGTCAGATTTTATAATAATTATAATAATAATTTATTCATTTAAATAAAGCGCATATGTTATATTATATACTCGAAGCGCTGTACATTATAAAAATCTAAATATATTAAGAATTAAATATGCTATATAAAACATGGTATTGTATACAATTACAATATACACTAATGTATGTATCTATAATAAGAATGATAGAACCAATATGGTCTCAACCTATAAAGGGTTATAAGCCTTATTGAAAAGAAATGTTTTCAAGCGTTTCTTAAACACAGAAATGTTTTCGCAGTTCCTGACATCCAGAGGCAGAGAATTCCATAATTGTGGAGCAGCATATGCGAAAGCCCGATCGCCTAGAGTCTTACAGTTTGTTTTCGGGATGTATAGTAGACCTTGACCATCCGATCGTAATGTCCAGCGATCACTTGATTGTTTTGGGATAAGCATTTCAGAGATATAGATAGGGGCAATGTTATTAAGAGCCTTGTAAACCAGTAAAGCAATTTTGAATTCCACCCGGAATTTTACCGGTAGCCAATGAAGTGATCTCAAAACTGGGGTGATGTGAGAAAATCTTGGACAGTGGTAGATTAGTCTAGCAGCGTCATTAAGAACTCTCTAACCCAACAGAGCATTACAATAGTCCACGTGTGATGTCACGAAAGCATGTATCAAAGTTTTCGTTGTATTAGTAGATAAAAATTTTCTAATTTGTCGTATTTTATAAAGTTCTCTGAATGCTTTACTGCACATCTTGGCTACATAAACTGACATTGACATATGCTTGTCAAACCAAGATCCCAAATTTCGAACACTGTCAACCGGCTTAATTTGGACCCCACCAACGTTAACGGATTCAATGTTTATTTTCAAAAGTTGTTGTGGTGTACCAATTACAAGAAATTCCGTTTTCGAATCTTTGAACATTAATTTGTGAGACAACAGCCAAGTACGAACATCATAAATACAATCTTCCAGTATGGCTAGGGTACTTTCTGAATTATCTTCACAATCTGGGCGAAAGTATACATAAAGTTGCGTGTCATCAGCATATCCATGAGAAGAGGGTAAGTGCCTGTCAATAATGTCATATAGTTGGGATACATAAAGCAGAAAAAGTATGGGGCCAAGACAACTCCCTTGAGGCACTCCGTACTTAACATCGCAGTCTTCAGAAAAATTGTTATCCAGATCAACTCTCTGTTTCCTGTTCAATAGATATGATTTTATCCATTCAAGAGCCCTATCCGTCACTCCAAATTGATACTCCAATACGTCAATGATAGTTTTATGATCAATTGTATCGAACGCTGAGCTTAAGTCCAAGAGTACATGAAAACACACTTCCTGCCTGTCCATACTCAGAAGAATATCGCTTTGCACCTTTAGCAGAGCCGTCTCTGTCGAATGATATTTCCTGAAGCCAGATTGACAGGTAGGGAGAGGTGCATGTTTTTCACAATGGTTCAGCAATTGGTTGGCGGCTGCCTTTTCAGTGATCTTAGAAAGAAATGACAGATTGCTCAGAGGCCTAAAGTTCTCAAATACTGGGTCCAAGCTAGTCTTTTTCAGATTTGGTTTCAGCAAAGCAATTTTCCAGTGATCTGGGACACGACCCTCCTGCAAGGATAAATTTACAATTTTGGTGATAGAGGGAATTAGTTCCAGACAACAGGCTTTAACAAGCCATGATGGGATCGGATCAAGCTTGCAGCTGGCACCGTCCATTTTATTCTTGAGCGCTTGAAATAGATTTTGGCGAGCATAAAGTTTGATGACAACAGCTACTTTTCAGTACTCGATATAAGTAATTATAAGACTAATCCATAAATGTGAAGAGGGTCCCAAATTATATGCGAGAAACAACAAATAAAATCACGCGACTGTTAAAACCTTCTCTGGTATATCTCAACTTACATACTTTGGACGTGTTTACTCGTTTTAACTTATTTCATCTTTTACATGTTAACAATCACTTGATAGCGCATTTCGTGACCATGGGTATCATTTCGTGTCGTAAGTTCTTGAATGGAAATTACAAGTGGAAATTTCAAGTGTGTACTTCTTAAAATATACAATTTCCTTGCTTAACCTTCCACTTTAACCACTTCAAAACGTGTCAATGACCTAGACTAAGATCCTGGCATTCCAGACGCGGATACAAAACGTAATAAATAATGCAGGCAAACTGGCATTCGCATGCAAGAAGGCGTAGCACATTGCGCAAATCCTTATACGCAACATTTCGTGTATCTTCCATATACCCCTACATTTCCTTTCGATTTTCTTAACGTTTTTACACTATAAAATGTTATACCGACCGAGATATATATTGCTGACATTTTGGGACCTTTAGGCTTTATGCACTGCTGACGGCAATAACATTCTAATTGACTTGTCTTCAAGGTCATGCAAGTTTAATGGCTTTTAAATTCAGGCTTTTTTACCGAACACATGTATAAATTATTGTTATATTGATAACTAGTTTCGCGGTACTATCACGCATGCATATGTTTTTAATAACTCCGATCTGATTCTATCCTTTCAATAATATCTAAAGCATGCATGAACAGCCGATCTGATCAACATCGCAGGCAAGGGCCTCCACACCCGCGTCCCGCCACGGGTGTGGAGGCCCTTGCTTGCGAGGTTGCCGATCTGATTTGCAATGAGCCAAAAGCAAGCCGCGGAAAAAATCAGATAAAAATCGGACGCGAATGCTTGATATTATTTAAAGCACAATTACATACATTTAGTACGATCAAGTTATAACCAGCTATTTTGGCGATATGGTTCATTATTACATTTTGGCCGAGAAAATCGAAGCTAAATTCTTGTAAGTGTAAGTGAAATGAGCGAAATCGCTATACGATTACAGATCGGTTGACTAAACCTTCATTCCTTTTCACTTTTTTCAATAACTGTCAATGATTGTAAATTTGTAATAATACTGAAGATGAAAGAACTTCGGCAGTGTAAAATATAGCCTCATTAGAGAATATAGTTAACCCCTATAATTCACTTATCGTTCATCAACGATATTTAACGTACTTCAAAAAAAGAAGTAACTAGAAATACGTCAGCAGCATACCAAACCCTATTCACTCACCTGTCCAAAATAGGCTTAATGAGTTCTTCTATTATTTTTAAGTGCCCTATAGGGAGTAGAACATGGACGAAAGTAATCCAATACGCAAAAGCAGATAAAACAAGACGCTAAATCAGGCGTTCACCCTGACCTCAAAATGACAACTTGCGCAGTAGGGTCGATGGGGGTAGGAATGCAGGAAGCCTGGTTGACTCTGTAATAAATACATTACAATACTATAATCAGAGAGATGTTGGATTTTTAGAGTCATTGCCCATAGCCCGCGTGCAGGCCCAAGGGAAGAATAGCGGGCCCTTGCAAGCAAGGCGCGGTATTTTGTACTTTCCGCTTTCGCCCACGAACGCGGCATTCTGATTGGCTGTTTTCTGTTGGATTCTATAATTAGATCAGTGAAAAAGAGATGTTTTTGCCGTTATGCCAATGGGAATTGCTTGTTGTGAAGTGTTGGAATAGCAACATTACGACTGGGGACTTGGGGGTACTTGATACGTTACTTGATACGTTATATGTTCCTCAAGAAATTTATCTTTTGGTGATCTTGCACTGAAGAAAACAGCGCTTTTCGCGGTGAAGATTTAGAGGCATTATGTTGCATGTAAGCCTATTCGAAACACTTTGCGATTTGCAAGGCTTCGATGAGCCTTTAATAGAGAGCGAAACAGAAGACGGTAATTGCCGTTTGAAACGAAACGACTGGACTCTGAACGCTCTCTTCTTTTGTAGAGTTCTTTACCAAATGAAATAACTGAAATAAATTTCGTACTTTCCGTCGCCAACAAGAATTGCACACACAATCTGATAAGTGAGACAATTTATTTATACCAATGGCGACAGCGAAGCACACATTAATGCTAATGTGGTCGCACGACTTCCCTCATGATTTGAAGTTCGAGACTGGTTTTCTGTTGAAATTCGTCCTAATTGGCCTGTCACGGTTTTAGTTGAAAATGAGCACTTGCAAATTTGCCAATTACTGACTGCGTTGCTTGCTTTTTCATTGGAGTCAAAACACGGCCATTTACACATTGTTTCTATTTTGAATATTAATTAAAGCAAAGAAAACCCAGCAACATTTTAATGCGAGTTTGTTGTTACTATTTGGGTTGCTGTCATTGGTTCTTGTTTGAAAATTGACGCGCTAATGGGGCGTGTTATGAAAAGGGGCGTTTCACAAAATACCGGGCCTTGCTTAACCTGCTCACAGACGTTGTTGTTCTTGCGCCAAGCGACGAAAAACTCGCTTGGCGTAAGTGAACAACAACGTCTGCGAGCAGTGCTTGCAGGCCCACTATTCTTCCCTTGGGCCTGCACGCGGGCAATAGCGCATTGGTTGGGTAAGTATGTTTAATGAATACTAAACTGAAGCATAGCTCAGTTATTATGGACCCAAATCAAATGAAATCTTGCATACTGATTGTACATGATGAGGCGCATTGAAAAACACTTCCAATTTTGTTGTCAAGGTAACAATGTCGTTCCCAGGCCCCTTGCGCCAATTTTATAAAACAGCTTTATTCATGGTATTTATAAGAATAAAGTAATATCAGAAGTATGTGTACCATACCTATGCATGCCAAAAGTTTACTTGCATGACAATTATTCTAAAATGACATACACATAGATAAATCATATTAACTATGGATAAATGCAACTAGTTATTAAAAATCAGTGCAAGGGCCCTGGGAACGACTGTGTTGCCTTGACAACTAAATTAGAAGTATTTTCCCATGCGTCTCATCATGTACTATCTGTATGCAAAATTTCATTTGATGTGAGCCAATAATAACTGAGCTATGCTTCAGTTTACTATTCAGTAAATATACTTACCCAACCAATGACGTCACACGTTGTGCTGAATCAGCAATTTATATTTTGCACATTTTTGCGTATAACTTCGGAACCAGATGAGATAGAATAGAGCAGTAAACGGCCAATCGGCTTATTTTTTCATGCTCTTTCAGATAAAGCAATAAAATTTTTTATTGCCAATGTCCTTTAACTAAATAAAACACAGGAACAACAACAACAACAACAACAACAACAACAACGACAACAACAACGACAACGACGACAACAACGACAACAACAACGACAACGACGACAACAACGACGACAACGACGACAACGACGACAACAACGACGACAACAACGACGACGACAAAGAACTTGAGCCTGCGATGCTTTAATGGAATGTCACATTTGTGACACCAAAAACAACAGAAAAAACATTTTAATTTAAAACATTGGCTCTGTCGGCCAGCGTGATAAGAACACATCCTCACTCAGCCCAAAAAAGGGAGGGTGTCGACGTCAATCCTGCGGGATGAGAAGGAAGAAGTGTACAATTAACACCCCCCCCCCCTCCTTCAGGTAAACAGCCCATCTTTTTCTTTTAGCGAAATCTAGCCCCCAGACACACGCGTGTGGGGGTTCAGATCCTCGTGTTTATGCCTCGCGATTCTCTCGCGTAAACAATTATTGGGAAAAAATAAGAAAAACTAAAAGTGAAGTCTACTAGGAAGTTTTACCTGAATAAATGCATTAATCGAAAGCTTAGAGCGCTGTTAAAACTCCTAGTATATTTTGTAAATTGTAAGCCGGTTTTTTAGGAAATGACCGCGCTTTTCGAAAACACTGGGACTGGCCTTCAAGTTTGGCTTTAAATTTCCAGATGTAGACAGCGTTCCAGTAATATTCTTTTCACTGGTGTATACTTTCGGCAGATAAGACCTGAAACAGGAGAATTTGCTGATGCCGACCGCAAGACATAATTCCAAGACCAATTCTGTTAAGATAGAATCCTTGAAATGTGCTGGTTGTACAATAACGAGTTTTAAGAAATTCAAAGACGAGCCAGATCAGTCAAGTATGATTTCACTAGTGTACATAATTATAGAATTATGTACACTATAGTGGAATCATTAACATTGAACTATATAAGCGAGGGCACCGGAGGAGCAGGTTGCCTTTTTAGAGTTGCCTACACTTCGTGTAGTCGTGCGCTACTCGAAGTGAATTGAGATCTGTCTTCAAGCAATTTAGCTCAAACTTGAATATGAAATTCCACCAAAAATGTTAACCAAGATTTCCAACTATATGAAAAAGCACGTCGAAAAGAATTAGCCTTCCTAAATAATTGAAAAGCTGTCATGTTGTTTTATATACACAATGCATTTGAGTCTTCAGCATGATACAAGGAATAAAAGTGCTACAGTCATTGCCGAAATTTGTGCAACTATATTGTAGTACAAGTAATCGAGCATCCGTAACGCAAAATTTTAACGAACATTGCTGCCCCAAAAATTAGGACTCAGAACTACCCTTTTTAAATGGCTTCCCCACTGCTTCACGTTGCGTCCGACGCCCCCTGGATTTAAGGCTTTTAAACCTTTAACAATGAATCTTTCATTTTCTTGTTAGATAGCGTGGATGTTCAGTGTGCATCTCGCAAAAGGGACCTGGTAGTTATGATAAATGGCACTATATCGATAGGCTACGAACCGTTTGCCGAACAACGAGATTTCGTGCTCTCGATATTATCCAGAATGAAATTTGGTCTCCAAGCTACACAACTTTGCATCATTCAGTTCAGCGATAAATTCTACACTGCTGTTGAGATGGAAATGGGAGAACATGGCGGACGGGCGGAAGTGTTAAGGAATGTATCAAATATCAAGTATCAACAAGGTAGACGAACCATGACTGGCTTGGCAATGGTTTTGGCTAACGAACAGGTAATACTGATTCAACATGTTTAGGCTAATCACCACAGTACAAACACCGCCGTTACCATTTCATCAGTTGGCATAATCAGTATAATTTCTTTCACATTAACCATTATTATTATATGCAAGCATCACTTCCGATAAAATCACGGACTGTGATTGGTTGAGAAGCACTTTCAGCGGTCCATTATTTTCCAAAACAGCAAAGCTAATTGAAAATTTGAAAATTATAATTTAATTTCTTATTTATTTTTTAGTAAGTTATCTGCGAACGGTTTTTAGTGGAAAAGAAGAAATGCATTTGTATTTTTTATTTTTTTGTTTTCTTCGACCAAATGCTTACCACACTACTAATATGCATAATTTGAAATCATACACTTCATGTTTGTTTCCAGTATAAATGTCTATAAATGCCATATAATAAACTTTTTATTAACCTCGCTTGCTCGGTATGTACAGAGAAATAACTAACCTCCAATCCTGGCAATAACTAATGAAACATCCGGTATGATTAACAATTTAATCTATTCTTTCCCCTTTACAGTGTTTATTAAGATGAGTAAGAAACCTACCGATGCAGTGCTCTCTGCCATCGATGAATTAAACACAATTTTTTAGACTCTACAGCCAACATTGTTAGGGGGGGGGGGGATTTTGTCTATTTTATTGATTTTTTATAAGTGTTTCATTTACTTTTTGCCAAGATTGTCGGTCCTTTTGTACAAACCTTGCTCTGCACGGGCTCGGTCTGTACAAAAAAGACCTCGGTCGAATATTTTTCTGTACAGACCTCGCGTTCGGTTAATATGAAGCTATTATTACCGGCGTTATGCACCATCGTCATCATACATCAACGCCACCATCAAAATCAATCATAACATTACCATTGGGACTAAAATCACTATGACACTATCACCATCAACAATCGCAAATAAAACCAGAACCATCAACCAGAACCATCATCCAAAATCTTATCATTGTCACCATTATCATCATTTAAACCGCTATCATAACTATGACGAAAACCATGACATTTATTATTTAAAATATCGCTAATAAGACAATCATCAACTACAGACGACTCCCACTTTCTAAAAGAAATCTTTAAGAGTTCTTCTAAATTATAGAGCTTTGAGAGGAAATCTTGAATTGGCAAATCGTAAATGTGACTGAACAGTCTACACGTAACAAATATAAAACATTTTCAGTGTTGATATACAGTTATATATACTCGAGTGGGAATTCGGAAAACGAGAAATTTTGAGTTTTTCCAATTTCCATGAATGTTGATAGAACTGTATATCAATATGGAAAAAATGTTTTATATTTGTTTTATAATATATAGCACAAGGAAATTTAAAGAAATAAATTTCCCGTGTTGACAATCTCTAAGCCAATCAGCGTTCAGAATTTACAAATGCTTACATTTTAATATATATTATCACATACTTGTGCTTTTATCAGGGCGATAATAGGGTGATATTAACATTATTCATTCGTCCCCCAAGCGATAGAACTGATATATGATAACCTATGCATATACTGTAGCTGACTAGGAAATTAATTAAACATTGTTGCGGAGACATTGTTTCCTGCCAATGTTTCGCCATGTTTCCCAGAGTGGGAAAACACTTGGAAACATTAGTGAGAAACATAGGTATACCTTATCTCCGAGCCAACGGCGCGGAGCGCCGTTCCGGGCGTTAGCCCGGGGCGAGGGTACTAATTCCCCCGGCTATTTACACCCGGGAAAACTTAAGTTCATGAATGATCGCGGGCGTGGGTCACCAACGAAGTTTCGGTGGGTGGTCTTGGGTGGTCACCCTCACTGATCTCAAAAATATGGCGGACTGTCATGAATAGCGGACAGTGATTGGTCAAATTTAAAGTTTGCATTATAACGACTGCATGACGACAGCGAAATAGCAAACATTTCTTGATTTTATGATTGATGAATGATGATCTCTTGCAATTTGTGAATTTCAAAAGCTTTTTAAGAAAATAAAGGCGAAAGAATTACTAGAAGAAGTGAGTAAAAGCACGACGTTAACGAAGGTAGGTTTGTTTTAAATATTGATGTATATATTGTTCACTTTATAACGGCTTCGAAGCTGATCGTTGCGTATATTTAATGAAAAAGACAGCATATAATTTCAGTGTTTCTTTATTGATTAACCTTTTTTATTAATGGGAGAATTTGAGATCATCTATAGGAAACATTTTTTCTTCTCTGGAAGCAAATTTTGTTTCCGCAACAATGTTTCCACGGGTGGGCAAACAGAGAAACATTTGAGGAAACATCGAGCACCACAAATGTTTCCACAACAATGTTTCCTAGTTTGCCCAGGACTTTAAATCAAAAGCACATGCTCTCTCCGTGGACCGAACGTAGCCAAAAGCAGCCAATATAGGAGGACAAAATATAATTCGCTACAGTCTTGGCATTACTACTTTTTAAAATGGGCAGTTCTAATTTTTTAAAGGTGACTTCTGCATCACACAAAGCCCATTGTTGCCATAAAACTCACAAGCATAAGACCACTAGATCACGCCTAGCTATCACCAATTAATTTACGTTGTATGTACGTCTACTTTCAGTTTTTTGGCAAAATCAAGGCTCGCCCTGAGGTTGACAGGGTCATACTTTTAATAACCGATGGAAAACCAGCTGACATGAATCTGTTACAAAACGTTGTAAAAGAGCTCAAAGAAAAGCACGTGAAAATTATTAGTGTTGCGATCGGAACAAGTAATAATTACATACAACGATTCAGATACATAGTGAGATCCATTGCAAGTGGTTTTAAACAAGCTTTCAAAGTGGAAAAGGATAACATGAAATCTATTGAAGAAGATGTTGCAAAGGAAGTCTGCCGGACCGTACAACCACCAGCACCTCCTAAAGGTAAACCAAAATGTAAGTACTGAATATTAAATACGGTTTAATCAGCAAATCACACTCATAAAAACTACCACAACGACCGTACAAGACATTCAATTTTAAATACTTGAACCGATTGATTTATAAAACAATTTTCTTTAAAGTACAACAGAAATGCTTCCAAGAAAAGAAAGATATTCTCTTTGCACTCGATGGATCGAGAACTGTCAACACTTATACATTCAACAAAGCAAAATCGTTTGTCGCTCAGATATGTGCAGAATTGGATATCACTCCAACCTTAATTCATGTCGGTATGCTTCAATATAGTGATGCGCTTAACACCAGGATTGAGTTTGGTTTGGACCAATATACCAAATATCATCAAATCAATGAGTTTCTACAGAATGTTTTTCATTCCAAGGGAAGTAGAGCGGATTTGGAAACTGCTCTGAGAATTATTGATAAACAGGTAAGAACTACAGCACTCAGTTCCTTAAAATGATATCAAATGAAACGGTTATTATGTTTAACTTACAGCTAATTCAAAAAAGGTTGTCCTTCAAAAACCTTAAACCTTAAACATTAACCGTGCAAATTAAAGTATGATGGGTAACTTTCTATTTAGAGTCTTAAACTCGCAAGATTTGTTTTGACAACAATGCTGGGGCAAAAATAATGAACACTTTCGTTGTAGGGCTATTTGGTTCGCTATACTAATTAGCTTATTGTTAAGCTCCAAATAAGCAATATCCATGATACCTTGCGCGCTCAATGCTTAAGGTTTAAGATTCTTGAAGAACAACTCTTATACATACTGTACGTAATTGGCTGATTTGTGGCCACGTTGATTATAAATTGTAAATACAGTACGTGATTGGCTGATTTGTGGTCACGTGAATAAATGTGATGTATCTCGCCGGGTAACAAGTGAAAAATTCTTGGTCGATCCGACCGGCTACGTTGGTAAAAGCTCAAAAGTTTTATACAAAGAAAGTTTTTCTAGTTCACGAAAATAATACAGTATCTGTAACAGAGAAGAAAAATTCTCGACAGGCAATGCCGCTGAAACACGCAAGTTATTTTATTGTTTAAAAATGAGACCTTTAGAAATCAAGCTGTTGTTGGAATTCGAATGCATCGCACTATGCTGAAACCTTGGGTGCGTAAAACAGACAGAAGTGAATAGATGATTCCCCTTATTACGTTTTCGTAGCGCTTTGCATTGTGGTTATAGTGGTATCACTGATAAAGATAGCGGCCTCGAATGAAAATATTGAATGTTTTCGCGAATATTTTGCTGTTGGCTATCGTGAACCTGACCCTAGCTTTTTTAAAAGTTCTTGCACGGGTCGGGACAAAAAATAAGCCATCTTAAATATCAGTGATACCACTATAACCACAATGCAAAGCGCTAAGAAAACGTAATAAGGGGAGTCATCTATTTTATGCATGATGAAGTTAATATTTAAAGCTTTAATTTTGTTTGATGATTTTTATGAAGTTATGCTCCTTCATACGATTAGAAGCTATTCCGGCTCTATTTCCAGGAGCATAAAATTTTGTGCTTAATTTTCTAAAGGTATCGTCTGCCCGATTCTCGCTACGTGTGAAAGCCGTGGGTTTCTCCCACAAGGAAAGTTGATAGGGTCGGTTAGGATAAACACAGTTAATAAAAGAGTAATATCACATTTGTTGTAAAGATAAAATAATCTAGGCTAATCTGTAATTAGGTAAGCGTATAATACTAAAGGGTTATTAACCGAGAGCGAGGTCTGTACGGGAAAGTATTTGCCTGAGGATTTCGTACAGATGTGCGGATAAGCCGAAGGCAAATACTTTCCCGTACAGACCGAGCAAAACGAGGTTAATAAACCGTTTATTATATGGCTCCTTAAACACATTTTCTGATTTTCATATATTTGTTTGAGCGCTATAAAGGTATTTTTGAGCTATGTTTTATTTGCTAGTTTTCTTCGTTTAGATTTGGTTTCATCACCGAATATTGTTTACGGAAAAGCATGCAAATATCATATAAACCCAGCTTATATGATATTTTTTTAGAATATGGTATTAAAGACGTTAAATTCATCTTTATTTATTTTTTGAAACAAGTAAACAAATCAAAAAATTTCCCCGCTAAAACTTACGTTTGCCAGTAAGAGTTCAAACGGCTTGTTTTCTTAGCTTTTCGATGAAATTTGTGTTGGTACAAGTACTTATTAATATTTCCAAGACTTCTTATTCTTAAAAATGATCCAAGAATACTTTTTCCTCACATAACGACCTTATAAACGTGTAAAAACGTTTCAAGCCTGTCAAATTGACATATGGGAAACCGGTCCGGATACGGGAAAATATGGACCACGGTCCGGATACGCATTTTTACTATGATTTTCACCGACCGCACGTCGACCAATCAGAATCCAGGATTCTGCATGACTCGCAAGAAAATTTGCGCTATAGAAATGCTAATCTGTCTAAAAAAATGATGACTCTACAGGGTGTATCAAAAAAAGAAGACCTTTAGAAACCAACCATATTGTTAAAATTTGAATGCCTTTTCAATTGCAATATGCTGAACCGTAGTGCGTGAAATATTGATATATAGTGCATATATTAATAAAAGGAGACCTGTATAAAAATCACCTTTTGTTTACAACACCCAAATTTTATTACCCCTGGGAGTTTAGAGTGCATTGTAGGGCCTAATTTTAGAAGCATGTTAAAACTGCATAAACTGTACATGAAAGTCTAATTAGAATGAACGGTAAAACACGTTTTTACTGTTTTACGCGCTGCCTTAAAGGCTGTCAAGTCCGTTCTGTTCATGCGCGTCAGTTTGTAATAGACAATAGACAATAGACAATACAAATTTATTTAGAACCTCCCCTCAGGGCTTTTCAGGTCTAATTACAAGTTTATAAGTTACAATTTACAAGTAATGAGTTTATAAATTGCAATATTTAGTATAGATATGAAATTGAGTGTCTAAATACAGAATTTAAAAAGTTATGTATTAGTTGTAAAAATTAGGCATTAAGGAGCCAGGTCTTTAATGATTGTTTAAAAGTGTTCAATGAAGTACTCTCTCTAACATTGTTCGGTAAACTATTCCACAATTTAATAGCTCTGTATCCAAATGAACGTTGGGCAAAGCTTGTTCTACATTTTGGGATATCAAGATTATGGCTATTACGAGTGCTACGATTGTGTACGTCAGAACGTCTCTTTACAAATTTTTTTAAATACAACGGTACACTACCGTTAATAATTTTATATACCATTTGAGCATCGCGATAAGCTAACATGTCCTGGACTGATAACCATCCAAGGTCTTTAATTGTGGATGAAATATGGTCAAATTTCCTCTTGCCAGAAATTATTCTAGCAGCAAAATTTTATCTTTAAAGGTACCTGCCCAAACAGTCGAGCGATAATACAATTTACTAAACACAAGAGAAATGATTATAGATATCAGAGTTTTCTTATCGAATAAGTGTTGAACTCGGCTGATCTGACACAATGATCCCATAAGTTTAGATGTAAGATTCTGGATATGATCGGTAAAAGAAAGACATTCGTCCATTATTATTCCAAGATCTTTTGCACAGCGAACTGGCGTTAATTCCTCACCAAGAAATTGTAATGGTGGTAGATTAATCTTGGCCAGAGCTTGCTTGGTTCCAAACAAAAGAAATTTGGTTTTCCCTGGGTTTATTAACAAGGAATTTGAACAACACCAGGCAGCAACTCGTTTTAAATCTGCATTCAATTTATTCATACTCTCGGCAATATCACAGATTGAGAATGATAAGAAGAGTTTTGAGTCGTCCACGAACGATTCGATCTTACGTACAGTCCTTACACATGCTGCTAATCTCATTAACATACAAGTTAAATAGTAGTGGACCCAAGGTTATCCTTGCGGTACGCCGTGTGTAACACTCTGCATATCAGATAAATGCTGTCCCACTCTAACAGATTGAACGCGCTCGCTAAGATAACTTCGAAACCAAACAGTAGCTGAAGCGCTTGTTCCAAACTTTCGAAGTTTTTCCAACAGGATATCATGACTTATACTGTCGAACGCCTTGCTTAGATCCAGTAACATCACAGCTGTAAGATTCTTTCTATCTATAGATTGATATATACACTCCGTTAAAAACAGCTGCAAAGTATGGACAAAATTTGTACAAATTGCAGTCAAATTTTGCCCATACCTCTGTAAGTAGTGCTTCTTAGCATTTTTCATTTAAAATTTTTTGTTTTGGGGCTAAATTTTTGCTTTAGTAGTTCAATTTTTCCTTCGTGCACAGATTGGAATTTTAAATTATCTATACAGGGTGTATAAAAAAAAACTGAACAGATTTGAAATTGCTCCCGATTTCGCAAAACAGCTCAAAACAAAAAATTTCTCGAACTCAAATTTTGTGAACCAGGGGGTGTGTCTTTTCCAACAAACTAGAAATGGCTCGCGCACAAAATTTAAAAGCTGTAATCATATTTTGAGTTAATAGATGGAAATTTTGTCGGGTTTTTAATTACTGTACAAAATTTCAGACAATTTGGTTTAGTCTAAGCCCTTTAACTATTCATTTTGTTCTAAAAAGTCAGCCTTTCGCATGCTTAATTAATGCCTTTACCTAATTTGCATATTGCTGACATATGCAAATTAGGCAAATGCATTAATTAAGCATGCAAATAGCTGATTTTTAGGAAAATGTAACTTTGCGTGAATAGTTAAGTAGCCTGCGTGCAGGCCCAAGGGAACTGATAGTGGGCCTGCAACCATCGCCCGGTATTTTGTAAAACGCCCCTTTTCATAACACGCCCCATTCGCGCGTCAATTGTCAAAAAAGAACCAATGACAGCACCCAAATATTAACAAACAAACTCGCATTAAAATGTAGCGGGGTTTTCTCTGCTTATTCAGAACACTAATAAACAATGTGTAAATGGATGCGTTTTAACTCCCAAAAAGCAAGCAACGCAGTCAGTAATTGCCAAATTTGCAAGTGCTCATTTTCAACTAAAATCGGAACAGGCAAATTAGGACGAATTTCAACAGAAAACCAGTCTCAAACTTCAAATCATGAGGGAGTCGTGCGACCACATTAGGAATTTATATTATGTGTGCTTCGCTGTCGCCATTGGCATTGTTATAAATAAATTGTCTCACTTATCAGATCGTGTGTGCAATTCTTGTTGGCGGCAGAAAATACGAAATTTATTTCATTTGGTAAAGAACTCTACAAAAGAAGAGAGCGTTCCGAGTCCAGATCGTTTCGTTTCAAACGGCAATTTAATACCGCCTTCTGTTTCGCTCTCTCAGCGAAGCCTTGTAAATCGCAAAGTGTTTCGAATAGGCTTACAGTCGTTACATGCAACTGCATCTCAACATCAACCAAAAGATAATTTTCTTGAGGAAGTGAGAACACATAACGTATCAACTGAAGTCTGTTTGAAATTAATGAAACTCAAGTAAAGGTTGCTATAGTTTACCCCAGTCGTAATGTGCTATTCCAACACCTCACGACAAGCAATCCCCATTGGCATAACGGCAAAAACATGTCTTCCTTCAAGTAAACAATAAACAGTCTGTTCTTGTTCCATTTGTAATCGGAAAAAGTGATCAATTTTCAAATTTTAAGCTTATCGAGAGCCTTTGTCTATGTCTTTGTGATGAATCACTGTTCCATGGGGCTTGCACGCGGGCTAGATTAATTAATTACCGATCGCTTCAGCTAGCCAATGGGAATTTAGCCGGCGGTTCGGCCGGCGAAAATCGAAAACATGGGGTGATGGTTGCAGGCCCACTATCAGTTCCCTTGGGCCTGCACGCAGGCTAATAGTTAAGGGGCTTAAACTGAACCAAATTGTCTGAAATTTTTTACAGTAATTAAAAACCCGACAAATTTTTCATCTATTAACTCAAAATATGCTTGCAGCTTTTAAATTTTGTGCGCGAGCCATTTTTAGTTTGTTGGAAAAGACACACCCCCTTGGTTCACAAAATTTGAGTTCGAGAAATTTTTTTCATTGTTCTACATTATAAGTACCCAACGAAGCTATATATATATAAAAAACCGGATACAAGTAGGTGTTTTGCAAAATTGACAGCAATTTCAAATCTGTTCAGTTTTTTTTGATACACCCTGTATATTGTTTGAAACAAAAATGTAAATAAACACGCGCATGAAGAGAATGGACTTGACAGCCTCTTTAAATTAATGCATGTAATCATATTCATATGTTTAACGATACCAAAAATGTTAAATAACTTCCCATGCATAAAATTAAATTCAATTGTGTATACGCACCATCATAGTTAATAGAGGAAATGGTTTGGAAACTCGTTAGCATTACAATAAAATGACATTAAACCTCATTATCTATGTTGTTCAGGTTTATGCAAAAATGTGGTCTTTCATCGTCACGTGCGTATTGTATTTTTCTCAAGTCAACCAATAGGAATGTTCAAAATGTCCTATTGTTAAAGTCATGGATGGGCAATAGGACAAAACCGTTGCTATTGGCTGGTTGAGCAAAGATACAATACACACGTGACGATGAAAGACCACATTTTTGTATAAAACTGAACAAAAACATAGATAGTGAGGTTTATTGTAATGCTAATGAGTTTCCAAACCATCTCCTCTATTAACTATGGCACCATAGATATCTTATATACACTAGATAGTGCATCTAATTATTCTGCAATTCAAAAATTGAAGCAGTGATTGCAGACTCAGGATATTCCCATGAAATGATAAGATTCGTGACACTATAGAAATTATCCTATTGTTATAATTTTAATGCCTGAGCACTGCTGAACACAAGAGTGCATAAACACAATTGAATTGTTAATTATACCAGGCGCATGAGATATTGTGGTAACAACAATAGGGTAATTTCTATAGTGTCACTACTTTTTATTTGGACATCCTCGAGTAGACTTGCCACAAGTTGACCTCGAACGAAACGCTGCTCGCATTATTTCGTTCGAGGTCGACTTGTGGCAAGTCTAACCCTCGAGCTGCTCTACTTACTGTTCGGAGTACTCCGGATTTTCGGAATACTAATGGCAATGGAACACGTTGAAAAAGCATACTTAGATATACAAGTAACACCAATCATTATACGATTTATTATGCAAATAACTAATGAACGCATATACAATAACACGCACGCATATATAATAAACTAAACACGTATATATAATAAACTAAACACTTGCACGCATATTTAATAAACTAAACACTGCTCCAGAGTCCTGCAGAACACCGTGTGCACTCCATTTCATATCGTTTGATTCGTTCCAGAATAGTGTTCCAAATGTTCTAGAACAGTAAATGGAGCAGCCTGCCTGTATAACAACACACTTGTTTCCTCGGAAAACAGTTTGTTTTGTTTCTCCTCAAAGCTCAATGTTTTTTTTTTCGAGACACCGAAACTCTGGGGAAAACAAAACTGTTTCCTTCGGGTGCAGAAATTAAGAGTATAATACCACTATTGCACTCATAAACATGCATTTTTGTATACTCTCTCACACAGATTTTTAATGGTCAAAACGGTGATCGTATTAGTGCAGAAGATTTTGTACTGTTATTCGTAAACGACGGTTTAAAACAGGGTGATCAAGTCCTTGAGCAAATACGGAAGTTAAAAGACAAAGGCGTGCATGTCATCATTATTGGCTTAGGAAAACCTGCAGATTTGTACGAAAAAATGGCGTCACACCCAAGTGATGTAAACTACTTAGATACTGTGTTATTGAAGCATATTGTGAGGGATCTGACTGCTATAACTTGCAGAAAGGTGAAGTGTGAAGATAATGAAGTTGAAAAGAATCAGAAAGGTAAATATAATAGTGAAAGTCAACGCAAAACGCGGAATGGATTGCGGAAGTAGCTAGTGCATATCATATTATTTATTAAAGATCGTTTAGGATTGAACAATAGGCAATTCCAGCTTTTAGTTTATGCGTGCAGGGGACAATGGGAAGTAAGGTATCAAATTGCTGATTATGCTGAAGAAATAAAAATGGTGGCCGTGTAAACACGGAGTGATAGCTTATACTTGTAAATATTGAAATATTTCGGTTGTTTGGTAGTTTTTATTGAAATTTTTCAGCATAATCAGCAATATGATACCTTACTTCCATCATCCCCTGCAGGCATAAACTAAAAGCTGGAATTGCCTATTACGAAGGAGAGGCGCTCTCAAAGTGGAGCAGGGTGACAAGACGTTGGGGTAACAGGGAGTGAAGGGTGCAACACGATAAACATGGAAAATTGTAGTATTTATTCAACAATGATTTGTTGAAGAAAGCCCCTAACTTGACTAAATAAAAGACCCTGTTATACCAATTATCTTTTTCATGACGGAGGCGCACAAATGACATACAGATCGATTACTAAAATCATTACCATACCATTTTAGCCCTACATTTTCAAACAACTTTCCATGTTATGATTCTGAAATTTGCAAAATTATTGTGGGGTGAGTCCCTCTTGAAATCGACCAACCTCGTACCCAGGTTCTCAATCTTCGCTCCTATGTGACCCGTCATATTTTGGCGAATTTGCTCAATTGTTTTTAGGGAAAGTATAGTAAAAGAGATGTTTTTTCTGTAATGTTATTTTAACAATATTAATGTTTACTACAATATCTACTTACTATACTTTCCCTAAAACAATTGAACAAATCCGCCAAAATATGACGCGTCACGTGATCAGCCGATACCAGAGTCTCAATTCAAGCGAGGTAGGAACGAAGATTGAGAACCTGGGTACGATGTTGCCAAATGGGCATGCAATTGGTTACAAGGGTCACCACTGAAAATCTCCCCTCCTCTACACCACTTATTATATTTATGTACCATAATTCTAATACTATCATTAATGCTAAACCTGACTTTGATAAGAATTTTGAACGTAAAATGTTTTTGGCATGAGCGAGCCTGTAGCGAGGGCCCCCTATACCTCTTGACAATATGCTTTCACGTAAAAATATTTTGCCTTTTCACGAGTCACGAAAAATTAAAAAAATTTCTTCCCGTTCACGGAAAAATCGAAGCGATCACAATTCATGAATTATTATAGGATGTCTTCCTTAATTGTAGAATCATTGTACTCGTCTGTATTTACCTCGACATGCTTTCAAACTTCCAACTATGTCGAAAACAGACTCCAGTACATCAAGTACTTCGAAAAACAGCAACAACCGTATTTATTCCTTGGACAGCTGATTACACAAAAGGTCGCAAAACAGATGATTCACGAATCACACATATTTCTATCTGCCATTCACGGGTCACGGTTAAATCGAATGTTTCTTTCACGTGCACGTAAAAAGATTGGAAGTCATACCATCACGAAGCCCGTCACGCTTCACGCAAAATGTATAGGGGGGCCTCTGTAGCCTGCGTGCTTCGAAACGACTGTGTACTTTTGTACTGATATTGACCAGTGGCCCTGTCACGATAATCAACACTTATTGACTGGAACCAAGAAAAATCGTTTGTTTTGTATAACGTGGACCGGAAGTGAAATCCAAGATAACATTGGCAGTTGGGGCAGCAATACATACGGCTTCACGAAAGTGCCAGTCAATAAGTATGCTATTATTAACTATCAAGTCTTATTGAAAAAGAAATGAGAAAGCTCCATAATTTTGCGCCATAACCATGACTGACCTTTTATCGATGAGCACAGATATTCTCCACCGCTCAGAGCTGTTGCCACAAATTGTATATCATGACTTTCACGTAATTCGCTCTCGTCCAATGAGAGTTCTAGAATACATGAACTTCGACATTTGGAAAAAAATAAAGCAAAGTTACTTTGATTTTTATATTACTTCAGAAAACAACCGTAACTGATAATATAATAAAATTTCGTTCTAGACAAACGAGATAGCGAGAAAAAATCACTCTGCCAGCAACGTTCTCAAGATGTTCTCTTGATGATTGATACAACAAGGGATATGAAACCATACTTTAATAAAGCTTTGAAATTTTTCGCGAAATTCGTGAAGAGACTCAACATTGCGGCTACCAAAACGGATGTTGGGTTGATGACGTTTGGAAGGAATAGAAAACACCTTAACATGGAATTCGGAAAATATAAATTTGAGAACGACATCAGCAAGAAAATTTTGAAAACCACGCAAACGGAAAAATGGTCCAGTCCTGTTGATGTTGCTGGCGCTTTACGTATGGTTAACAAACAGGTATATGTACGCAGAAATGTATCAGCATACTAAAACAATTTTAACTTTAGAGATAATAGAAGAATAGAGTAGGCATTGAGAGAAATTGAAGCTTCGTTCTGGACGCCAAATCCATGTGCAAAAACTAAGAAAAGTTATTTTTCATCATTTGGCTTCAGTTCGAATATTGTATTCCCTAATAGAACTGAGTTTATTGAAGTCTTCGCAGTTCGATATAACCAGATAAATGAGAAATTTTGAGCTTTTTAAAATAAATTACTGAACAACAGTCATGTTTTCGTTCGCTACTCAGTTTTTAAGCAAATAAATGCAAAGCCCAGTCGAATTACATTCACAACCCACCCTAGAATCTATAAAAAGCCCATTTCAACTTCAGATCACCCCTGAGGAAGACACTAGCTGGATCTGGAAGTGTAGAAATGTTGGGTAGTGAATGCAATTCGATTGGGCATCGCATTCATTTGCTTAAAATCAGAGTAGCGAGCGAAAACATGACTGATATTATACCTGGTTCCTGTGAACTCACAAGCTTCAAAAATTACAGAGCAAGTTGATTTAAGAAACTCACACCTACTCTTAAAAGGAAAGCAGTGGCAAGTGCATATTATTAAGAAATTTAATATTTTTCAATCTATAGATATTCAACACCTCAACGGGAGGACACCGTAAGGGATCCTCCGACCTCATATTCATTGCAACACTCGGTAAGGTATTGGACCGATATAAAATACAAAAACAAAGTAAGATGCTCAGGGCTAAAGGAGTTCGAATTGCAGTATTAGATGTTGGTTTCAAAACTCCAGCGATCGATTATCTTAATGCTATTCACGATATGGTTTCCGGAGCAAAAGATATATACCCGATGGACTTTAGAAAAGCTAGCACCATCTCACAAGCTCTGCTGGATGTGAAGTGTAAAGTGGAGGAAAAAACAGGTTTGCATTAACAAACTACATCATGCCTGAAAAGCTGTGTCATCATCACTGCAAATATAAATAATTATAATTATTATACATTCAAGCTTTACTCTCGTCTCTGATTGGTCAACACTCCCGGCTAATTTCTAATTTGCTATTGCTGTCACGTTATTTCAGCTGCTGACGTGTCAGCCTGCAATAATATTTTTTGGACATGTGTTCGGTTGCAAGAAATAATTATTGGACGCTGTAGAGCCCAAACCCCCAGCTCGGTCGGTAAATTGTCTAAAAAGCCGAAACCAAATGGTTTGCAGTAGGTATACGCTTTTTTAAAGTTTGCTAGCCAATGTTAACCAATCAAAATCGCGTAATTTAAAGTTAATTAACTACTATGTTACCTGCAAATTAGTTGTTAGTCTTGTTAAAAAGAAGTTAAAGTTTCACATAACAGGTTTCTGAAAATCAGCTCAAATCACCACTATATTTGCCCATGATTACCCATGAACGAGTATTGGGGCAGTGTTACACTCTCCTCCCCCCTCCACACACACACAAACACCCGATCGCTATCATAGAGATTATAAATAACACTAGGGGGGGGGGGCATCGTAATCTTAATTCAGTCAAAGAAAGGGAACGTGGCTAATGGGGGGGAAAAATTAAAATGCTAAAATAAGAGCGAGTTTGAGCCAAAATATCCGTGTTATTTATAATCACTAGGGTCGCTACCGTATCGAAGCTTGGTTAAATAGATTATAATGCTTATATGATCGATCTTTCCACCTCCAATGAAAGTCCTTCATTCAACAGTATTATTTTTTTCTAGTTTCTCCACAGTGTTTCTCACGATCGCGTAAAGTCTTCTTCATGTTGGACAGGTCGCAGAACCTGACTTACAGTGAACTGCCCAAAGTCATTACATTCATTAAAGATATTGTGAAGAGATTGTATACCGACCCCAATAACATTGAAGTTGGCTTAATGCACTACAGTGATATACGTACGGCAAGATATCCATTGATGTTGAGAAAATGGTCGTTAAAAGTTGCCTTGGATAGAATAGAATATCTAAGATACCGATCAGGAAGAAAAAATTTCTTGGGGTATGCCCTGAAGACTGTCAGAAAGGTATGAACCATGTCTGAAATGTTTAGATGTCATTAAGCGCATACCTAATTTTAAGAATTTTTTATCACTGCGCACTTTTATGCAAAGTTTTATCTAGCCGAGCAGAAACACGCCCACCCTTCTACTGTATAACCACAAACACAACATACACTGCTCACCGCCAAGTTTACGGGGACCCAAATAAAGAATTACAGTGAGATATACATAGATGTATACGTAACTGTCAACTATACTTCCATGCAGAATGCAGGATCTGGCCATTTCTTGGACCTCAAATTTAAACGTTTTCCTGAGGAGAATGCTCACAGGCCCCCTAATCATAGTGTTTCAAAAGAATGTCGCCCCTTCATTCCTCTGGGCGGTCTTGACAGCACTTTCAGTTACGACTGTCTTTGCATTGACAACATACTAGTTTCATAATCACATACTTGTGGGAAAGAAATAGTTTCGTCTTGGCAAATCAAAGGCGGCTTAGGCGTGACAAACTTCTAGAGGAGTTCCAGGGGTATAATCTAGGCTCTCTGAAAGAGTATTTTCGGCAATGTACAGGGACATTCTATAGAATTCTGAAGATTCTTCACCAATTAGAAAAAGTTAAGTATCATTCACTCCATCTTCCAAGCTCATCAACAGATCTTTGGTGGGAAACTTTGTTCATCTGATAACCTTAAGTATAATATTAGTGCATGCGGACGTTCGATCATTTGGCATTCATTCAAATTATTCTCAATCAAAATGTTTTGATTAATACTGTCAAGTGGCAAGATTAATTTTTAGTTTAGTTTTTTTGTTCATTGCTCACTTTTATATATGGCGAATACTGGTAATATATATCTAGACAAGACGCCTGCTCAGGCGTTCACACTGGCTTCGCGGTTGGTAAAATACCATCGCAATACTCTAAAAAATAATTTGAAACATGTAGATGTTCTTCACTTCTTGACGGCCGTCACTTCATGATCACAAACATTCAGAGGACGGCACAATAAAAATCCGTACAAAACCAATAGAGTTCAGCGATATCATATCGAAAAACACAGAAAAGTTCACGCGCATGCGCAATTACAGCATCTACGATTTATAACGTAGTTAAACTCGAAAGCCGTTCTGATTAACATTGTGTAGAATTGGTCCTAATAATCGTCTGAGCATGTTTTAGCTAAATTGCGCAATCCTGTGCCCACGATGTCGCAATGAAAAGTCACACTTGCGACAACAACAAAAAATACACTAAAAAGACGGGAGGGGCAAATGGAAGCAAGGGCAAATTATGACACTGGCTGCGGCCAGTGTAATAAGAATGCAATTCCACAGTACATGATGCCTGCTTATGGGCGACGTCACTCAATGCATAGTAATTAGTTGTATATATTTCTTAAAACTATTGAAAATACTGGAAATGGTTTAAAAACTGCGCTAAAATAGTAACAAGTGTGGATACTAAATTTCGCTTTGTTATTGAAAAGACAAAAGAGACTATATTTATCAATTATTATCAATTCTTTTCCCCATTTGCAGAAAATTTTTCTTTCTTTCATAAGGACGTTTAAATGTTTCAAAATTTTGGCTGATATTTTCCTTAATACTTTTTCTTTATATTCTAAAATTTGCTTCCCTTAAACCAAAGGTGGCGCCATATTGATTTGGACATGTTTCCACATTTCGAAATTGGAGGTAAATTAACCATTTCAGGTCATGCGTCATACAAATATTTTTTTTTTTCAATCATGAAAGTAAGATTGTTTAAAGCACAATCTCCGGGTTGTCTTTTAGTTCTCTTATTGGCAAAAAATTCCCTTTTTCGGTCTTGTGAAATATTTTGCAAATTGATTTTAAACACTTAGCATCCAATAAATGTTTTATCTGCTAGCTATGAAGGACAACTGTTGCAATTCGTGGCTGCTAGCATCTGTAGAAATTCTGCAGATTCTAATTTTCATGTTTATTTTTAATATAGAAATTCTTTAAGCGACCTCCAAAAGCTGACGAAGAGCGAATCGTCATCGTACTTGCGCACAGCGAACCAGCAGATCCTGAAAAAGCGTTCAAAGTTAGCGAGAAATTACGTTCACAAGGAGTGGAGATTATCACAGTCACCATTCACACAAAAAAGACTCCAATGAGGCTAAATCCTCCGTACAGAGCTTTGGCATCATCAAGCTCGAGTGCACATAGCTTTGATTTTAGCAATCTGCTAAACTCCAGCATTGATGTTTTGTTGAATTTGTGCGAACTTAATACTTGTCCAAAAGGTGAGGGTTTCATGTACAGCTATATATATATATATATATATATATATATATATATATATATATATATATATATATATATATATATATATATATATATATATATATATATATTAAAATACTGATTAATAATTCATACACAATGTGGCAAATCATGTCAGCCATAATATGTCACGTGGAGTGACTTTATATCAAATAAAGCATGTGGCATTATACGGGGTGTCTCAAAAGAAACGCTATGGAATTTCAACAGGCTGTCGTGCATCATACCCAGATGATTTTGATACGCGGAAAAGTACTGGCACTAGTTGTCAAATAGAAATCCATTTTATGATTGAAACAACTGAATATCTCCTGTGATGTAGTTTATTTCGATTCCATATTTTTGTCAGAGCTATAGTCCTCATAACCAAACTTTTAAAATAAAAATAATAATAATAATAATAATTAATATAATAATAATAATAATAATTTTTGTAATTAAAATTACAAAATTTCAACTAGTTTCATAAAAAATGACGAAAGATATAATTGACTGAATACATCAAAATGGATTTCTATTCGGACAACCCTTTCTGAGCGCTGATTGGCTAAAATACGAACACAAGATCACCTGGATAACGTGGCTAAACAATTCAATTTTTACATAGAACGAAAGAACAATTATTTAGCTTTACAATGATACTCTTTTTAAATCGTAACGATGAGAAATGGACACATGCTCGTCAAATAAAAATTGCCGGTCGAAATCACATTCTTCCACCGTTGGGAATTTGCATGGAAAATGAAC